GATTGGACATGAGCCACTTGAGCGATGCGTGATCGGTGATGATGGTAAATTCGTGTCCTTCCACGTATGCTCTAAAATTCTTCAGGGCTACTATAGCTGCTAAGCACTCCTGTTCGGTTACGGTATAGTTTCTCTGCGCACGATTTAGTTTCTTCGAAATAAAAGCTATCGGACGTTCGTCTCCCTCTTGAGATAATTGTACCAAGACGGCACCGACACCAGTCTTGCTAGCATCACAATGGATGGCGAACGGCTTAGAAAAAATCCGGGCTACTCAATACCGGAGCTTCACTAAGACGACTCTTCAGCGCTTCGAATGCCTTCAGTGCTTCAGGAGTCAAACAGAATTTACGTTTTGTTGTCATCAAGTCGGTTAAGGGAGAAGCAAGAGAGGCAAAATTTGGTACAAATTTGCGATACCAGCCGCATAATCCCATAAAACTCCTTAAACCTCGTAAAGTTTTAGGAACAGGAAATTCGGTAATTGCTTTGACCTTATCAGGATCTGTTCGGATTCCGCCATCGCCAACAATATGGCCAAGATAACGCACCCGTTGCATACAGAAATGACTTTTGCCAATATTGATTGTCAATCCTGCACGCTTGATGTGAAATGCGATCTCTCTGAGAACGTCAAGATGACTGTTAAAGTTGGAGGAAACCACAAGAAGATCGTCTAAATAAACGAATACTTCGTTTCTTAGATGCGCTGGAACGACTTTGTCCATTAAGCGAGACATAGTACTTGTGGCATTGCATAGGCCAAAAGGCATTACCTTAAATTGGTAAAGAGGCCTACCGGGGACTGTAAACGCAGTCTTGTCTCGAGAATTAATTTCTAAAGGCACCTGCCAATAAGCATCTTTCAAGTCCAAGCTTGAAATATATTCCGCCTTAGGCAAACGACTCAAAATTCCGCTGATTTGAGGAAGCGGATATGCGTCTTTCTCTGTAAAGCTATTGACTTTTCGACAATCTAAACAAATTCTAACTTTACCAGGTTTGGTAACCATCACTATAGGGGAAGACCAAGCGCTTTCCGATTCTTCAATTACGCCCATTTGCAACATCCTGTCAATTTCGGCGTACATACTCTTCTCAACAGCTGGCGACACTGGAAAATGGCGCTGTTTAATCGGCTTCGCTCCACCCACATCTATTGCATGAGTTATTAAATTCGTTTTTCCAAGTCCTTCCTGCGTGAATGACGGGAAACAATTGATGACATTGCCAAGCTTTGCTTTTTCCTCAGCAGACAAGTCGTGTTGATCAACTTCGACCTTGCTGCTAGCTTCGATAGTAGTTTCTAACTCTGATATATTAAGGTTTTTGGGGAGAAGATCATATAGTCTCCAAAAATCTATACCTAAATAAAGATCATGTTTCAAAGACGGTACTAGGTAAATATTTAAAGGTTTTCTCTTGTCTCCATATTCTACGTCAATTTCCATTCTTCCTACTACTTTCTGAGGTCGTCCATCTGCTGTTTTGGCTTTAATGTTTAATGGCTTGTATTCGGTATCATTCGCCATAACTTCTTTAGCTAGATCTCCTCCAATACAACTTATTGAGGCCCCTGAGTCCAGCAAACCAAAAACAGTACGGTCTAATAAGCGAATCGGCAGAAATGGTCGTGGATCTCTTGATCCCGTAGGGAGAGAACAAATATATTTCAACCCGAGCCTACAGCTTTTAACATTCTGCCAAAACCTTTTAATTCTTTCGGCGCTGCGAGACTTACGGATTTCTAAGAGATGTTCAGAAAACACAGTAGGAGTTAAAATCTGAGGTAACTTTTTAAGTTTACAATGCAGTAGAGAGCCGACATTGCTTTTTGATACGTCCGGGGAAGTTGGTGATGCGACTAATGGTGCATTCACATCTGATCGGTCATAGTTGATTGGTGACGAGAGGCATTCAAAGTCTTCGGTTTGAACTGCGACTTCGAACTGCCGGGCTTTAAGTTTTTTGAGCACTTAACGCAGTTTGGCTTATAGGTGTTAGCGGTTCCGCAACCGTAACAAAATACGCGCTTCTCTGATAAGCAATCTTGGTATCTGTGCCCTTCTTTGCGGCAATTCCAGCATACCAAGGAAAATGCGTCCACCTCTAATTCACTTTCGGATTCGGACCCATTCTGAGAATCTGGCTCTTGAATAAGCTCTGAGACTTCTCGTCTAAACGGTGTGTTTTTACTGTATCCGTGAGAGCGTTTGACATCGTCTAGAAAAGCTTCGCGTCGACGACAAGTTTCTCTCAACTCAGATACTGAAGAAATGTCAACATTCAACAATTCATGGCGTATTTCGGGTCTCAAATTGTTTTTGAGAATTCGGACAAGTTTTCTCGGCGACCATGGTACTTCTAACTGATCGACTAATACGTTTACACTATCGTAAAAACTATCAAAAGATTCATTGGGCTTTTGTTTTCTGTTTCTGATTAACTCTTCTACATCAATATCGTCCCTTTTTTGACGAAATTGCAATCGCAAGGCAGAACATAATCTATCCCAACGTACTTCGGTTACCGATTTATGGTAACGCCAATAAAATTCGTTGGCTTTGCCCTCGAATAAGACGCTAGCATTTCTGCAAAGCACTGAGAAGTTGCCTTCAAGTGTCTGATGCGTCAGCGCTTCGACTCTGTAAATAAAATTGTCTATCGATACACCTGATCCGGAATATTTTATCTTCCATCCATTCAGGATATGCACGACCTTGTCGGGTCTATTTAAGAGATCAGAAGGGATACTTCTATGAGAACTTGGAGAACCTAAGTTAGGCGCGACAAAATTTGTGTTTTGGATATGTTCATTGCCAGAAATTGGTCGGTCTAAGGGTGGTGGAGTAGCTGACCTATCTCTGTCATTCGCATTGGAGCTAGATGGAGGGGAGATTAATCTCTGAATACTGTCACTCACTGAAGTTTGTATTAACTCAGTCATTTTCTCTGACAACACTGTGAGCAGTCTTCGCTCCATTGAGAGTAACGTCATTGCATTAGCAACATTAGCTGGATCTACATCCCTACTGCTACTACTATGAGCGCCTCCTGACGTACCAGGGACGTTTTCAGATATATTTCTATCATCAATACTTTCTGTGCCACGACTTTTAGATTGGGATCGCGTTTGTAAACCTTTACTCTCGGCTACTGGCCTGCAAGAAATTCTGCATACTGGACAGCTTTCACTTTTCTTCAAATGTGCCTCAATACATTTCTTGTGAAATTCGTGATGGCATACAGTTTCAAATAAATCGGTTGCTGCCTTAATATCTGCTTTACATAACGGACAGACTGGCTTTGCACCTCCTTGCGATGCTTTTCCCGGAGAACGGTCTAATCCCATTTTGAAAATTTATAAAAATATAACAAAAGCAAAAAAAACAAAATGTTGTATCCTTAATTTCCAACGATTTAAACAACAGCTCAAAACCAAAATAATTTAAAACCAAAATGTTGTATCATTAATACCAAATGATTTCAACAACAGCTCAAAAAGAAATAAAAAGATAAAAAAAAAAATGTTGTATCATTAATATCAAATGATTTCAACAACAATCGGTAACTCTCACGATATAAACTGTGGTTATAATAATAAAGATAAAGCTTTAACTCTAGCTTGATGTCCACAACTCGTAGGATAAAAATTTTATTTACTACTAACATTTCTCAGGAAAGAAGAAAAGAATACAGATGAAGTGAATTTCTTGCCTTTCTTACTACAAGAAAATTCAATAAGGGAAGTAATTAGGCTTTAATAAATATGAAACGGATAAGTTATTCTTAAAAAAAAAAGTTCTTATGTTCCAGTCTCAACTCACATAAGTCTAATTCCTCTAAGAAAAAATTATAAATAATTCTTTCTAAAAGTCAACCGTGGATAGGGCACTTCAGTAAAACAATGCCTCTATTTTCCGAAACGCCTAAGCTTGAAGAAAGCATTTATTTAAGTAAGTGTGAATATTGTAGTGATTTGGTAAACCAGCAAGGGCCAGAAGATCAATCGCAATTTGATACTCTCTGTATTTTCCTCAGACTAAGTTTTCCTTATCATCACATACAAAAGGAAGGAAAATTCTTACACGGACTTTTAATTAAGGCCAGACGGAAACTAATGTTCACTTGCTCTGTTATCCATAATAAATAAAAATCAACATAAGAGATTTTGATCAGAAGTTAAAGTTGAAATAAATGAAAGAAAGAAAAGAGATTGAATTTATCTATCGGTGAGTCTTAATGAGGTAATACTGTACTCACTAAGGCCCCACACGTTGGGCGCCACCTCTCTTAATAATAATAATAATAATAATAATGATATTATAACTGTAGCGTGTAACGAAGGTATTCTGTGGTGAGTTCTAGGATCTGTCCTTGCGGGTGCACACTATAGGGTCCGGCTCTCGCTCGTCTGCTTTGGGGGTGGAGGTCTTGCTTAGACAAATCCGCACACTAGCTACATATTATTATTTTTAAGACCAGAATTGAGTGTGCTGACGAAAATAAATGCGAGATATCAAAATCAGAAGAGAAATAGATAAAATTCAAAAAAAACAAGAGATAGAAAAGATCGAGAAAAGTTAGAATCAGCGATGCCACAGATGTTGTCGTGGTCGCGAAATGCCCACCCTACCTATGATCACCATCCTTCAGAGCTAAACTCCGGTGACCCCTAATACCCTACGATTGTGGAAGCATCAGCCGAGTTAAAAAAAACGTGAACTACTCGAAATTCATTTCAAATACAATTTAATTAATAGTTATACAAGAATTCATTATTGTTATTTGCTAACAGGTAGATACTACAAATTTTATATAAATATAATAAATGATATACAGGCGATAAAAATACTATTTAGATACTTAAATATTTAAATGATGTTATCCTCATAAATTAAAGTAGTTATAATGTTCGTATATATTTAAAAAGATAAGAAATAAGAAAAATATAGGGTATTCAGATATCGTACTTCACCAATAAAAAATATTACTCTGGTATAACAATAGATATTTAAATTTCATTGCTTTAATTTATTTTTTTATTTCACTAAATCATCTTCATTCTGTTTGATATCTTTTTGTTTAATTTAATTTAGTTTAGTGAGGCTATCGGTTCAGGGTTCTTTTAAATTCACAGTTTCATTCAAGTAGATTGTTAAAAATTATTTCATAGAGTATTTCGCAATAAGATATAAATAGAATAGATATAAATGCAATAATGAGAATAATAAACTCACAGCTTATACGTTGTTCCAGCGGCGAAAGATCGATCTCCCGGGCAGGTGGCTGTAAAGGGTGAAATTGGGGCTCGAAAACACAAAACTATTCTATAAAAATCTTTTAACTTGGAACCCTTTTAGGCCTACATATTTTACTGAGAAGCGACTGTGATATCTTCACTTAACCACATTTTTAAATTTAATATTCACTATTGTTTCTTATCAGAAGTTGCTATTTTCAAATTATATTTAAATTTACAAAAAAAAAATAAATATTTAATTTATCGCTTTTAAGTCATAGTTGAGCGAATTTTCCAAAACAAAATCGATGCGTAAATAACTCCACTCGTGAAAAATTAAGTTTTAAATTTAATTTAATTTAAATATTACGTTTTAGACTGAATCATTCAGACTTTAGAAAATATCACTTAAACTTGATTTTTACGGCATGTTGCTATCTTTGATTCATTAAATTTTCTTCACTTTGGCACGTTTCAAAACTTTCAAATTTTTAATTATAATATTTCACTTTAAAAAAAATCGCAGTAGCGGCTTAAAAGCAATTCCAGGTTATATATTCCCTTTTGTGTCCATATTTGGCTATACTAAATCTGCTGCTGCTGCTGCCGTGGGTAGAGAGGGTTAAACATCTCTCCAAATCACTTCTTTAATGCCGCATTCTTGAATTTAATTCCAGTTGAAACTCCTCATTTTTCTTGTCCGATTTAATTTGGGGCACGATATTAAATCATGCCCCCCACTGTCTTGAAGGGGAGCTCCCACGGATGCCAGTATTGATGGCCACGTGAGAAATATATATATCATATATATCTAAAGAAAATCTGGGGTTAGAATTGATAAAAAATCTACTTCCACCACTTACATCTCAATAGTTTTCCAAAATTAATCACAAAAATATTACTCAGCTAGGCTCGCTGCACTTATTCCTCTTATTATTTTCCACGATTTCAATATATAGTATTTAAACAAAACTTTGTTGACGTTGAGAAAAATTGGCACGTCTGCTCATATCGGATGTCAATCAGAAAAGAACCTTACCAAATATAGGTAGTGTTAGGCTAGGGTATGGTCGGAAGTTCGCCACAGATGATAACACCAGATGTCTAAAACGAGCTTCCCACTGCATCTCTGTTACAGCTGATTTATCAAACATATGTGTAATTAGCTAAGACACTAAGCCGAGCTTAGATATATTTTAAAGCATGCTTCTAGGCCGAACTAAACTATCTGGTCGCTACAGGCGCCGTTACAATTTCTGGACGAGACAAGAGTTTGTTGAACTGAGGCTGAGGCGTCGATGGACGCGGATTAAATTTGTCTGTGCGGCCAGCGAACTACTCTCTTCCCGAAGGACTCTCCACATGCAGAGCGAACCCTTCTCAACTCAAGCCCATCAAAGTCAAATCTTAGTCTAATCGCTTTCTGATTTCGTACCTTCCCAAAGAGTTCTCCGCGGAGGTGGGCGGGGCATCTAGATAGTCGGTGCCTTGGCGCTGGTAATAAACGCCTATCTGGGCGCCAAACAAGCCGCGACAACGACCTTCGGCCCAGTTCTCGGGGTCGACCCTTTTCGCCAGGCAACTTTGAATAATGTCATTTTAATTACCGCAACACTCAAATCACAAGGAAACGCGCGAATAAATAAATAGCGCTCCGCGAGCAAAAAATCCATTTTAATTAAACGCGGCGAAAGAAACGAGCAGAACGTGAAAAAATGCCTCCTAATTACTTTTGTATGTGGTCGCGGATGCGAACTCGAACTCGAGCTGGAAATAAAATTGAAATTACTTAAACTGGAGCGGAGTGGAGTCGAATGGAAGGAAGATTTATTACCGCAGAACGCCGGATTTTTTAGCACTCGGATAATTTGGCAAGCGTTCTTGGTTTTTTGTTTCCTACAGCGTGGTCCTTCGTCTCAGCTGTCGTCGATTTGATTTGCCGGTTGCCTTGGCTCCGTTTTAATTATACAAGGACAAAGGCAACAAAAAGCGCTGTCTCCCGGCCACCTTGCATCCCATCCGTCCCGCAATCCAATCAGCCGCTAAGCCGACGTCGTGGGCGCTGATTAAAAGGCGATTTTTTTTCCTCCGCCGCGAGCCCACAAAAGTATGCTACCCAAAACGCGTTTTAGTCCAGGCAGTCGGCTAATTGGTTGCCGTTTGGGAGGGGAGCGATTTGTAATTGAATTGAATTGATTTAGGGGATTTTCGCGAGCGGGAGGAGCTGGCTCTTTGGATTCTTGGCGGCCTTCTTCGCGAGAGTGCGTGTCGGCCAGGTGCCAACGGAGCCAGTTGCCAACAGGACCGCTAATGAATTTCGCTCCACCTTCGCGGGGGTTGTAAGCCGACTCTTGGGGTGGATTTTAAACCGAAATCCCATCCACTCAGCGGCTAATTCGATCCCCCGCGACTCGCATGCTACACTTCACAAACAATTACGTTTCCATATGCGTTATCATCATTTTGAATTAACTTCCGGCTCGAGCAGGATTCCTCTCTCTGGAAGGCAAAGCCGAGTTCTAAAGCTCGTTCGCCCGCATTTAGCATTAATGAAATGTCCGCTGAATGGCGCTTTTTTGCTCTTTTTCGGGCGGTCTGAATGCCCCTTCGTGGGGCATTACAAATGCATTGGGCCGCGGGCAATGTGTCAGTATAACGGTTTGTATAAGCGATGAACGGTGAGTGAGTAGCACAGTTTTGTCGCCGCACATCATTTTTATTGCATAACGAAAATTGTCAAAATTGTCAGTCTGCCACCGACTCCCCCGATTCCACCGATTCGCCCACTCCACCATGCATTCATTGATGTGTGCGGTTGAACCTGCCACACCCGCCCCCACCCCCACCCCCTTTGCCCGCCCCACTCGCCCGCTATCATTGCAAAATTTCATTTCCGGCGAGGCCTGACAGGTAATGTGCCTGTGCCCCAAAACCATCCACCCTGCTGCGTCGGTGTTTTTGACAATTTTCATGTTTCAATTTTTCATTATGTGCAGCGGCTGCCTTTGTTGCCGAACTCACCCTCCCCGCTTCGTGCGCTCCTCTCCCAAATTATTTATGCATAATGCAGGTGGGCGTGGCTGCATAATGCCCGCCCCACACAGGCGCACACCCGCAGAAAACGAGCCGCAAAATGCAAAATTCCGATCGGTTTTATAGAATGCAATATGCGAATATGCGATGCCGTTTAACGCTTTGCAATCGGTCGATTTTGATCGATTACGTGGCACTGCCACCTGACCAGCAGCAACCCATCGCTGGGGTTTTCCCGGGAAAAGACGGCAACCTCGACTCGCCTTGACCAAGTTTCCTCGACGCCGAAGGAGGCGCGTGCCACGTCGCAACTCGGCCAAGAACAACCCAAATACAAAACACAATTGCGGAGGGGGAGTCTTAAATTGGACTGGGCGAGGCAACTGTGCGTTAATGACAGAATAAAACGAAATCCAAACATAAATTACGCGCTTATCAATTTCATTTATCTTTTGGATTTCGCTCTGCTCTCTGCTCGGCGAGAGTTTCGTTTCATTTCGTTTTCATTTTGATGGTTTTGTAATTGAGTAATAAACTTTGGTATCGTTTCGTTAAAGTTGCTTCGACTTTGGCCAATTTCCCCAATAAATTTTCGCAACTTTTCCCCGCCGTTCCTTTCGGTTCTGTTTCTGTTTCTGCGCTGGCTTCTGCTCCTGGTCATTGCTTGTACTCCTTCTTCGCGATAAGAGCGGAAAAGCAGAAAAGTTTGGTCTTGCCATCATTATATTCACTCGCCTTCGAAAAGCAACGGTTATTCTGGCGTTTATTGTCTTCGACGCCTCCGATAAGTGACCATAAAAAGTGTCGTTATCAAAGTATATACTTTTGAGCAGTCCTGCGCTTCGATTTGTTAATGAGTTTCTGCTGGATCGAAGTTTGGAGCTCTGAGTGGCGTGGGAGAGGAGGGGGAGGAGAGGAATTTTCCGCCCGACAGTGCTCTCCATTTATCAAGACCCCTTGCTCTTCAAATGCGTTTCTTCCGTTTTAAACTTTAAGGCAATTTGAGCGCAATCCATCAAGGTGACACGCAACCCCCAAAATCGGAATGCAACCCCACAAAAGCTCGTCGCCCCGTTTTGATATCCCTCCATCCATCCGCGCTTGCGAGTGCATATCTCCATAAACAGAGCAATTTATTTCAATCAAATTTAAATGTGCAAATAAATCCTGAAGAGCAGGTCGAAAAAATAGCTTGAATGGCATCTCCGCAGCGCTTAAAGCTTAGCTCGCAGCTTCTGTCCCGTCGACCGGAAATTGCCGCCTATCAGATGAGCAAATCAAAAAATTGTCGGTCATTGTCGATGGTAGATGGTCGATGGGGATGTCGCTTGGCACTGTCGCAGTGCGCCTAAAATGACACACAATAAATTTTTATTTGCCGCTTTATTAAATTTTATTTGCCTTCGGTTGGGGCGAACTATGCTCTCATCCGTCCATCCTTCTGCGTCTGCCAATCGTCTGGCATTGGCCATATACACACCCGTGCACCCACACACCCGCACATCCACATCCTTCCCGCAGGCTCTTTTTTTGGCCAACAACTGGCGGCTGAGTGAGTGGGCGCGGGTGGGCGTGGCTCGTCGCGGAAAAAGGCAAATTCATCAATTACTTAATATAATTACTTTTGGCTTTCGGATTATGCATACATACTCTGAGTTGCACAGACACACAGGCACACAGGGAGCCAAGCGGGACCAACATTAATACTTAATATAATAAATTGTAGCCAGTCAGTGGGCGCTGGCACTCGTGGGCTAAAAGTCCGGTTGCCGGCCAGATCCACCCTTGCAGCAGTCCCCGAATCCGAATCCCCCCAGTGAATCCCCAGTTCCAAGCCCCTTTTATTGCATATTTTGTGGACGGAAAGGCAGCACCCAAAAAGGGAGTCGGACAGGGAAGGCTGCGTCTGACTTCTGGGCACTGATGCTCCTCCTGCCGCTCCTTCTGCTCCTTCTGCTCCTGCTAGTCCTGCTGTTGTCCTGGCCGGGAACTGCAACTCCATACACGCAATTACCAGTAGCTCTGATGAAATTAACAGCGCCGACTGGACGTCGAGGGCACTGGGGTGGCACTTTGGAAGGGCAACATTTCGAGGATTCCAGGCAGCCTGTTTGCCGTTTTAATGGCTTTTAAAGTGCAGCAGAGAGCAGGAGAGAGAGGGGCTTAGTTCGTGGCGATCGTAATAAATAAGTTCACAAGAAATTGTTTGGGAAATGGAAAACAGGGCAGTCACGCCGTTGACTTTGGAAATGATTGCGTATGCAATGTATGTGACTGTATTTGCGAAAAAAATGCAAATGTGAAATCCCTTTTTGGGTGCCAGAGTCTCCTAGCTTAAACAAATGTAAGAACTAAATATATTCATCCGAACTTATGCAACTTTTCGACTCTCTTCTCTTTCCAGGTACGTATGGCAAAAGTTCACAGTGGAATCATTAAAGAGTTTTCCATCCGAGCGGCAGATGATAATTCAAAGTCCATTAAAGTCGGAAATGCTAATCCGCATTAGTGTCGCCGATATTAATATTAATATATGCCAACACTTTGCGTCACGACCCCCCGGTTATCGGCCAATAAATGGGCAGTTTTATGGGCCGGCATAAATTGCCATAATTCTACCGTTTGTCAGTTAATAATTTTACATTAATTTATTGGAGCTCATAACTCTGTGGCCACCGACTCAAAGGCAATTCGCCCAGCCATCAACTTTACGTCTGACCACAATTTAAGGGGTTTTGGGGTTAGAGCGGTGAGCGCTTGGTGCAGGCCTACAAAAAAGTCAAATAGTAATATAATTAATTCGCCTGACAATTAGAGCCGAGCATAGAAAAATTAATAATTTCATAAATTCCATAATGTCAAATCCATTTCAGCTTTCGATGCTCTTATGGCGGTTGTTGTTGCGCATATTTAATGGCCATTGTTGAACACAATTAAAACAATTAAATGCCATAAAAATGGCGAAATGCTGAAACGGCAACAACAACGAGCCCTCATAAATAATAGCAGTTTTAGTAAAAAGCGGCAAGAAAAACAGGAATTATGACAATTATTGGCAATAATATTAAAGCAATATTAATTGACACGCCAAAGCCCAGGGAAATGTTAACGACAATTTTAATCACACTTAATCTATTTACCGCACATAGAACGGGATAAACGGGCTGAGCCTCAGGAGGCTTAAGCCATGGTTAATATTAGAACTAACCCCAATCGGCGGCGGTTTTCTTTCGCTGGCCGGGCTTTTCGCGGCTCACCCAACTGAAATTGACCTCGTCACACCAGCCACTAGGCAGGCAATTGGCGATTTCACACACTCCCCCCTCCGACGACGGCTCTGCCCAGGGACTCGCCTTGTTTTTCCTTGCGCTTTCACCACTTTCCCCCGACTCGTTGTCGCCGTCGGTTTAACTTTATTAAATATAATGGCAAACCAATTTTTTCGCTATGATTTTTATTAGTGCGCCGTTTACGGATGGAAAAAGCGCAGTGCTCGCTGTGCCGCTCTCGCCGCGTTGTTATTTTTATGCAGGTATTTCAGTCACAAGCCAGAGAGCAAATAAAATATGCAGCGGAACAGGCCATGGTTCATTAAGTATGCGCCATGTGGCCGGCCAAACAAACGAGTGCGCTCGAAAGTATGCAATTGAATTTAAATATTGCAAGTGCATGTCCTGGGCGTCAGGGACTCGCGGGAAAGAAGGGGAAGGCGGGGGGAAGGGGGATGGCAACTGCGGAGTTATTTCGCCCGCTCAATGCTTTTTGCAGCTGTGTGCGTTAATTAACACAAACTTTATTACAAAATGTCTGCCGCGGCAAACTTTAATGGCCGCGCATTTCGCCCCCATCGCTCGGCAGCCCGCGAACTGCGCTCACTTGTATATATCAACATAATGAAATTATAAGCGGTTTGATTTTAATATAAATTACTTTTTATGAGACAATAATTGATGTCCGCACAGGCGGCTGCCGTTTAATGATTATATGCCAGTCATGGATATGACGAATCCGCGCCCCAAGCGGTTCGCTTTCGGCTCTCTGGGCAGTAAATACAATCCCCTACGACCAGATCCCCAATAAACTTCCAAACGCTTCGATGGGTCCTTTTGACTACGACTGCACCAGGACATTGGGACATTGGGCACTGGCGGGAACTAATTTCAATTAATGGCGATAAGGCTGCCAATGTTTATTGACTATAAAATAGGAAACCGAGCCGCGATCGGAAAATCAAGGAGAGAAAACAAAAATAGTGCATATAATAACGTTGATAAAACAACGCTCGCAGTAATTTAAATTAAACGCATTTAAATGATAAAGGTGAATACTGGGGGCAAAAAAACAGCGAGGCCGAAAAAAAAACACAAACGTGCAAATAAACAATAACGCAAAAAAGTACGCAATAAATATGGCTGCGCTTTACAGTTCATTAAATCGAAAACAAAAGGCAGTCCCAGCGTTTATTTTTACCTTTCTCCACGACCCCAATAACAACAAACAAACAAGTTTAAATGCGTAATTAAAATATACATTTTTTTGGCTCGCCTTTATTGCACTGCATTTAATGCTGGCTTTATCGCAATTATTGTTATTAGTTTGCCAAAAGCGGGCCTCGGCTCACCTGCACCTGCCCCCGCAGCAGCCGAATCGCCGTGCAAATTATGCAAGCATATCGAGCTAATTAAATTTAAAACCGGAAGTGCCGAGCTGCAGACAATGCGAGCATCCTCGTACCGTTAAGCACTAATTTACACGCGTCGTAATTATAAGCGAGTTTCGACCCT